CATGGGAACCATAAGCGGAGTACCACAAAAAATGATCCAGGCTGTGGAGTTAAAGTAGGTCAATACTTAATCATCTTTTTAGTCTCATTCCTGTTCCTGCTTCACTGCTATATTTAAGATGAATCCACTTTCTTCTTCTTTTAGTTTTAAGACATCTACATGGAGTTTCCAGTGTGATGCAGCTCAGGGAACCATCTGTGTGACCCCAGACCTGAAACAGACTTTCCCTGTGACCTCTTCTGTGACCTTTACCGAGGCTCCCATCAGCGCCCAATCCCCCATGTCCAGGTGAGTCAGAAACATTCACAGGTTGTGAGAATGCATTGAACTCTGCAGCTTGAATGCTTGAAAGATTTATCCCTTAGGGAGTATCTTTTAGTTTCATTCAAACAGGCAGAAACGCTCGCTCACTGCAGCCATTACAACTGAAAATTTAAAGTATAGGAATTTATACTGTGGAGGAAGATTTAAAGTATAGGAGTTTATACTGTGGAGAATGATTTAACGTATAGGAATTTATACCGTGGAGAATGATTTAACTCATAGGAGTTTATACCATGGAGAATGATTTAAAGTATAGGAATTTATACCGTGGAGGAAGATTTAAAGTATAGGAGTTTATACCGTGGAGAATGATTTAAAGTATAGGAAAGCTCTGGATCCACTGTGACTCTGATCACTCATATATCCCATCCTGGCTTGCACTTTGTTACAGTGGCAAAATGCAGGATCATGGGTAATATAGGGAGGTAACTTGTACTGTCTGGTGGAAAAGCACTTTTTTTTCTTTCTTTTTTTTAATTATACAGGTACCTTCTGATGAGACAGCATAGCCAGCAAGGCATCACACTGCAGCTCCCTTTTGTTTCAAACACACCTTTGGTCTATATAAATCTCTGCCCACGCAGTGTATAGGTTCTGAGATGTAACTGATTACCCTCGGGCTGGTTGCTCTTCACTGTCTTTGAATTATCTCTCTGCTTTTGTTCGTCTGAGCCTTTTTGTGTAGCAGCTGTGGATCGTTTCTCGATTACCATATTGGACTTTTTGTTTGGAACTTGATCACTGTAATTACTGCAGTGCACACTCCTGCACATGGATCCTCGCAGCCTTGCTGAGTCAGACTTCCTCTCTTCCTAAAGTTTCAAACCTAATCCATACGCCTTAAGTTCTCCAGAGCTGTCTTACTTAATTATACAAATATTTCTTTTTTAAACCATGGTGCTATTGAATTTCTAATGCTGGTAGATCAGGAGGTGTTAATTTCCTGTAACTGCAGTCAAGTCAAGTGGAGTTTATTGTCATTTCAACCATATACAGCCAGTTAGTACATAGTGAAACGAAACAACGTTTCTCCAGGACCAGGGTGCTACATAAGACAAACACAGAACAACACAGAACTACAAGGGACTGCATAAATTATACATAAAGTGCACAAGTGTAAACATGTGCAGACAGCACAAGACAGTACAATGACTACTGGGATAGACAATGGGCACAGTAAGTCCCAGTGCAGCGCCGACCAGTACACAGTTCTATTAGAAAGTGAATCTAGTGAGAATAATGCAAAGAGTACAGGAGTACAATATAAGTAGCTGTAGTGCTGACTGTAAGGCAAATGACAGGTAAAATCATTAGTATTAATGCACTTGTTCTAATATATTATTGTTTCTATAGTAACAAGTAATTCAGGTTGATGTGTATGGTACTCTCGGCATGACTAAGATTTATGATCAAGGTTTATATAAGAAGAATGTTTATTTAACCTTAATGGAAGGAGTCTCCAGTGTCAGTGCTTTGTAACAGTCAGCGGTAAAGCTGTAACTTAGAGTTTTTCAGGCTGAAGATTTTGCTTAACCTGTGTATCATTTGAAGGGTACACAAAAGCTGGAAAATTACCAGTAAAATTTTGCAGCTAGTGTCCAGGGTTTTGAGTGAAAAAAGAGAGAGGTGAATGTTTATAGCTGTTATAACCTAAGTGATAACAGAAACTAGCTTGTTTCATAAGCTAAATGTTCCACAACATTAAATGTGACCTATAAATTGATTTTTTTTAAAAAAGTACGTTTTTATTCTAACAAAGATAAATATGTAGGTTTGCATGGTATAAGCAGAATAAAACATTCCATGGTGTGCACTTCTAATAAAATAATCAACTCTGGAGTCGATATGCCTTTGTTATTTAGTTCTTGTGTGACATCTGAAATGGTTTAAGTCATTTTGTGCCTTAGTTCCTCACATTTGAAAATGGGTTTAAGGTAAATCGCAGCTATTGAATATTCATTATAATATACAGGGTATAAAAATAATCTGCAATTCTCTTCTTCTGTTATTTCTCCACTACAGGTTTAGCATTAACTTCACAGAGTTTGACTGTGATAGGAATGATGTGTGCTGGCCTGAGCTTGCCTTCCCTCTCACACCTTATTACACCGGTGAGACCTTACATAGCGTACTGTCCTAAATATGTGTCATTTCATGTTTAATTCATATGTTTGGTGTTTAAAATAATAAGTATAATTAGGTGAATAAATATTATTGTATATATGTCTGTGTGTGCGTGTGTGTGTGCGTGTTTTTGCTGGCAGGTGAGCCGTACTCTCAGGCTCTGGCTAAAGGACTCATCCTTGTCTTCTTCTTTATCGCCGCATCTGTCTTAGGAACACCGTGGAGACAAATCAGGCAGGCATGGAGCAATAGCTCATTCTAGTGTGTGTGTGTGTGTGTGTCTGTGGGTGTGTGTGTGTGTGTGTGTGTGTGAGAGAGAGAGAGAGAGAGAGAGAGAGAGAAAGTTTATGGAGGGGAAAAAGAAGGAGGATTATTATGCAACTGGTTCAGTATTGAGTCATACTGTAGTCATGAGGCTTTTTCTTAGGAAAGTAATTGCACTATTTTTGATGAACTCCACCAGTGTCATTGTTTTGTATATGTTTTTCCTTTAGAAGCCACTGTAAGATAATGTATATTTGTTATTAATATTTATTGTGCTATGTTGTACAGATTTATTGTGGAATAAATTCATATTAATTTTTTTTTTTTCGTGATTGTCCTTTTCTTAAATTAAATTGACACTTTTTTTTTTTAAACTTGCGTTGAATATAATTGATTATCTAAGACATGTTTGGTATCTGATGTTTGCTTCTTCTGCAATGAACTGGCATCCCATCCGGTGTGTATTCCTGCCTGGTGCCCAGTGTTCCCAGAATAGGCCACTGGATCAGGATAAAGTGGTTAGGAAAGATGAATGAATGAAAAAAAACCCCTCTAATTTTGCACTGCAGCTTTGCAACTAATATAGCAAACAAGTAATTGAAGTACGTATGCTCGCCCAGAATAGTTTCCGTATCTTCATATGCTTGTTACAAACATTGTAAAAGCTGTGAAATGTCATCTTTTAAATAATTTATGTTGTAAAATATTTACACAGGTAAAGGTCAAAGAGGAACTGTGTTCTCAACTGCCTCACTTACCGTTTTCAGGAGATATATATATATATATATATATATATATATATATATATATATATATATATATACAGTATAATTTCACCTTCGATCCTTGAGATTGCACTGAGGAAACCGGGGTTCTGTTTGTCCAAGATGGCTGCTCTCATAATGTTACAGTTGTCAAAGATACATTTGTTGTTTGTTGGTTACTTTAGCATATTATCTACAGTGCAATAGTATAAAAGCAGACACTGGACACAATTCATGTAGACTGAATATATTTGGGGTAAGTGGGAATTCCTGTGGTCAAATACTATATTTTTGATATGAATTATTATTTGCTATCATGTTAATATAAAAGACTGGTCTGCAGTAGACTTATTTTTACCAGTTATTTTTATTTATTGGATTCTGTATGCGTTAGTATTCATCAAAGAACCCCATCTTAGAAACACTTCGCTTGGTCTGGATGCTTGCAGCACATCATATGACATACATCAGTTCCAGGTGATTGAACGGAGTTACATTAACACAATTTGTTTTTGTACATATAATATGATACGATTATGTACTTTCAAAGCCCTGAATAAAATTGAACTCAGCGTTTTCATCCGAACTGAGGATCGAACGTACAAAAACAGACGTACAAACGTACAAAAAAAAGACTTAATTCAAATGGGTACATCGGTTCCACGTGATTGAATTGAGTTACATTAACATAATTTGTTTTTGTACATTTAACATGATCATGTATTTTCAACCCTGAATAAAATCTAAGAATTCCATTTTCTGTTCAGTGTAGGTTGCTGGCGTTCTGTAACAGCCACATTGCTGCTGTGCTACTCTACCTCACATTTTAGTCACATTAATTTAATACTATAGTTATAGTTCTCGTCAGTGTCAATGAGATTTCATAATGTAATTGATTTACGTTAATACTACGTGAGCTGATCATGCTCACTCTACATCCATCCATTTTCTGTAATGATAATCCATGTATCATTTGAAGGGTACACAAAAGCTGGAGAATTACCGGGAAAATTTGGCAGCTAGTGTCCTGGGTCTTAAGAGAAAAAAGAGAGAATTGAATGTTTATAGCTGTTATAACCTAAGTGATAACAGGAACTAGCTTGTTTCGCGGATGTTCCACAACATTGAATGTGACCTAAAAATTGAGTTAAAAAAAAAAAGTAAATGTCGTTTTTTTCACCGCTTATCCTACACTGGGTCGCAGGGAGCCTATTCCAAGAGACTCAGGGCACAAAGTGGGGGACACCCTGAATGGGGTGCCAACCCATCACAGGGCACAATCACACACACATTCCAGACAGTTTAGAGATGCCAATCAATCTACAGCACATGTCTGGGGTACCTGGAGGAACTCCCTGAAGCATGGGGAAAACATGGGCAGAGGCAGGAATCAAGCCCCCACACCTGGAGGTCCGAGGCAAATGTGCTAACCACTATGCCACCATGTCTCTACCTTACTCTTCATATTTCAAAGTAATTAGAATCTTGTTTAAATTACGTTTAGTATACGCAATGAGATCGAGTCCCCTGGAAGACTAGTGGTTAGGCAACAGCACTCTCACCACTATGACCTGGGTTCGATTCCCAGCCACTGGGGTTCTGCATGCAACAGTGCGCTCTCAGTGCCAGTTCCAAGCCTGGATAAAATTGGGAAGGGTCGCATCAGGAAGGGCATCCGGCGTAAAACCTGTGCCAAATCAAATACGTGTCCCAATGATCCGCTGTGGTGAGTCCTAACAGGGAGCAGCCGAAAGAGGGGCAACATCAACATAAGCAATGAAATCATATTTTTGATGAGAAACGTAATATTTTTAGGTAAACTATACATAATATATTCTCTTAAATCTGACTGATGACATATTCCATTTTTTCAGTGCACCCCTGTTATTAAGGCTTGATGTGATATCGGTATAATACCGCGCAGTCAGTAATATCGCGATTAAGTGCCGGTGTATTGTGCAGCCCTGCTCAGCTGCTCAGCTCTGCTGCTGCTGGGAGGGAAGAGGAAATGCTTCACTGCGCGCGCATGTGAGTGTGTGTGTGAGTGAGTGTGTGTGTGTGTGTGTGGCACCATCTCGCAGTCGTGTTCATTTCGGCCTGTTTTGCGGGTAGTGTATTAAGGGGAGATGAGCGGCAGGGTTGGAGATCTGAGTCAGAAACAGGCCGAGGCTTTGGCGCAGGTAAGTGCTTCACTCCTGCTTCATGATTTTGCCTTTCCAGCAGTTTTTCCCGGAAACGTGCAGAGCTTCTGCAATGCCATATACAGTATACCAGAGCGGAGGAGCTGAGGGACAGATCCAGTATGTCGCATCGACAGCCTATTATTCCGCCATCAAATTCATTACACTGTAGCACCAGAGATGCAAAAAATATTCGCCATATTTGTGAAGGATGTTAGCTGTGTACGAGTTTTAGAGCTGATTGTGCAGAAAAAAGGTGGAAGTGAACTGGAACCTCTGCTGTGTTTACACTCTCAGTGTGTATGTGTACATCATCATCATCATAGCATTCATTCAAATGGATGATCTGTATAGCTGTACATGTCTCGGATGTTTATTACACGATGTATTTCCGCTTTCTTTTCTGGTCTAACTGTTCACTTTTCTCCGGGATGTCAGTACCAACTTATAAAAGAGATCACACCACCAGGGTTGCCAGATTGAACACTGGCTCTACTGCCAATGGAACAAAAATGATGACAGCATTACACTCTTTTATAAGGTTCCTCCTGAGGAACTCTTCAAGGTTATTAGAAGCCTACAGCAGGTTAATCCACTATCAGAAAGTGTAGAACTGTTTTAGAAAGCTAGAACCATCATCCATCCAAAGGAAAAAAACAAGCAGGGGTGGGTGATATGACAAAAATATCATATGTATCATGATAAATAGGTTTGCTAACAATAGTGTTACATTAAATAATTCAATTCAAGGATACTTTTATTTAATTACTACATTAAAATTAAATTAAATTGAAACGCTGAAAGAGGGGATCTGTAAGAATTTTACAATTTGAAAACATCAGATCAGCTGTGTTCAGACACATAAAAAAAGATAAAACATAAAAAAAGATACCCATGATATCTCAGAAAAGAATATTGCAACATAATTTGTAATGATATTTTGATTGCCCAGCCCTATCAAAATATTAAAAATCAAATTGAAGAATACATAATTTATATGTGAAACCAAGTTTTGGGAGCTCTTTCATGGGATAGGAGAATTTTTGCAGAAAATCTTAAATGTGTAATTATGTTTTCAACATACTGATATTACGCTTAATATTCTGGTTGCTGATGTTGTCCTTTCACACAGGGTTAGTAGAGTAAGGACCAATTAGGATTTAGAATGAGTATAATCTAAATAGAAATATAATTAAATTAAATGAGTGTAATTGAGCAGATAACTGCACAGACAGTCTGACAACACTGTAATTCCACTCAATTAACTCATTGTTTGTTTTCCCTTTTTAATTGGGACAGTTTCGGGAGAGGGTCCAAGATGTCCTGCCACAGTGTCCGTCTCAGAGTGACCACTTCTTACTGCGCTGGCTTCGAGGTGAGAACAACACGAATCTGTCGATAAATGGCACAGAGCCATTAGATGGCAGCTTCTTTTATTAACCTGCTACAACAGTGATATTACAAAACTGAGTTTCGGCTTCATAATATGACTAAATCCTCTTTCTCACACATTCGCTCCCACAGTTAGAGCTAGAGGCAAGTGAAAGGGATCTTTTGTTCAGTCCTGACGCAGCAGAGTGCACAATGAGCTAGATTAATCTCAGCTATAATCCGATTAGAGCTCTAAAACAAAACGCAGCATGTCTGTACAGTCATCTATGGTTGACCAGCTATCCTGTATCTGTATCAGAACAGTATTAATTACACACTACCAGTTGGCAATATCAGACAACTACAGGCCTTTCAGGCTCAGTAGCTACTAACATGGCTGAAATGCTAGACATACTTCAGAATATAACTTAGTCAATAAACTGAAGGTTTGTTCTGATTTGAGTGAGGTCAGAGAACTTTTTAAGGCTGTGTTTACTGAAGCTTAGCGTGGACTCGGCTTTGTGATAAAGAATGTCTGTGTTCAGAGTCACTGGCCCTGAAAGGCACTGATTATGTAGTACAGTTCAGCACTACCAGAGAGCAATGGACTAGCAAGTGATATGTTAACATTATCACTGCTCATTTACTGTTATTATACACAATAAACCATTTACACCGGGTGTGTGCTGCTACATTTATCAGATAATGTTGGTGTAAAAATGTTAAGGCTGTTTCTTATGCCGGTTGAAGAGTGGACCCTTGTTGGAGCAGGGTTCTCTTGGTTTCTCTTTATATCAAGTGTGCCAAAATATGGCCTATGCTTAAGAGGTATTATACCACATGCACGAATCTGATTTGTCAGGTGTTAATTAATTAATTAATTTTCTATAACAGCAGCTCTGACCGTAGTGCCGACTGTAATCCAAACCACAGGTTTATATTAATGCAGTTGTTCGAATATGCTAACGTTTCTATAGTAACAGCTCATTCACATGGAATTGTATGCTGGACGCTCCACATAATCTAAGCCTAATAATAAACAGATAACAAATAGAAGTGTATAATTATTAATATGATGAAGTTTTCAATAAGGAGCTGTTTATTTAACATTTTTATAAGGAGTCTCCAGTGTCAGTGCTTTGTAACAGTCAGAATTAAAGCTGTAGCTTTAGAATGGAGGAGTCTGCGCTCTATGCTTGCTCTGTATCGATAAGCTCCATTTTTTTCTTCAGGAGAAAGATAAAAATAGAGGCTAGTTAAAAAACAACTGTTTATAACTGTTATAGCCTTTATAGCTGTTATATTAAGTGATAACTTGTTTTGTGGATATTCCATAACATTAAATGTGACTATAAAAGGAGAAAAAGTATGACGTGTCATTTATTAATAATTAAAAAAGCTGTAATTTTAACAAATTGCTGTATTATAAGATGAACAAACCACTTTGGGACATGCTGTTGTAGGAAAATTATCAACTTTGGGGTGATAACAGTAACTCTGGTTTGTGCTGAGTCACATCATATCACCCCATCGTTGATTATTTTTCTCTAACCGCATGACCCATCATGTTTTAGTCTTTACTTCTTGCATTCTAAATATACTCTACATAGCGCGTGATTTTGCTAGTACTTCTGCATTTCTTACAGAAGTCCTTTAAACGCTGTGGAATGCTTGTAAATTTTTTCACACTGTGATGTAATATCATGCAGAAGAGATTATGGAAGGCATAAAACATTTTCAGCAGTGGTTACAAAATCGCTGATAAGCCTGAGTGGCTCCATTGGTGTGGTTATATCCGATAAATGGTTCAGAATAGATGTGTGAAGTTAAATTTTCAGATAATATCGGTGTATGGAAATTTTAAGCTAACATTTCTTGTGGTTGAAAAGCAAGTTTTACCTGCATGGCCCTGTCATATTTCAAGAGACGTGTTTTTTTTGTTTTCTTCTTGCTGTGAATGCCCGATATTAACACCTTCACACGTGACTGACAATGCCCGTGGTGTTTCTCAAGATTTGCTTCACTGCTATAGGGAAGATAAGATAAAACCAGTGTATATGAATGGTGCTGACATCCAGGAGTATGATAAAGTTTGAGAGCGAGTATTGTATTATAGTATTATAACAGTTAAGTTTACTCGATCATCCTCGTTTCACTTCTACTCTAATTCACTGCTAATTTGTTTTCTTGTATAATAAACTAAAAATCAAGACATGCATTAAAAACAAATGAACACATCATTATCGCTCATAAAAATGGACTTTCACACTCCTATCGTATGGAGTGACTGGTTTGAGATGATCTGTGTGGCAGATGTCAGATCCGCTGCTGTCAGCTGTAATGTATAATCTCCTTTATGAGTATTAAACACTTTAGTGTCTGTGTGACCGTAAGACAGTCAGGTGCAGGCGAGTGTCACAAAATGACATTAATCCGCTGGGCTGCACGCTCAGATCGAATGCAATTACTGTTTGAAGTGAGTCTGCTTTTTAAAGAGTTTTTACTAGGGTCAAATGTTATTACTATGTTAATACATTCACTATTACATTTTATGGACTGGTGCCATATGTAAGGAATAAAACACTAGGGGACAGGCTGTTATAGGAAATTAATCAATGACGTGGTGGTGTGATGTGGATCGACACGAGGCAGAGCAACCATCCCAAATTAGCTTATTTCATCCTGAAATGTTTTACTCCTCTCATACCACAGTCATTTGCCAATGCTAATAATTTTTATTTATTAAAGAACAACATGTTCCTGTTATCACTTAGTTCCTGTTATCACTTAAAAACAGAAAAAAAATGCATCTTGTTGTGCTGCTAAGAACCCAGTCCTTGGTCCTGAAGACTCTTTCGTGGTAGAAAACTTACTGAAGGTTTTCAGTGTCAGTGACGTGCTGACACTGGAGACTTCTTCCATAGATTTTAAATAAACATCTATTTCCAGAAGAATTCGCCATATCAGTGTTATATCATGTTTATTTTTTTTTTCTGTTATTTAATATTTTTTAGCCTTAGATGATTGTGGAGCGTCCTCTGCACA